CCTTTGGGGTGAGCCTGGGGGAGTGTGTGGCTGAGAGCTTGGAAGACGGTGCAGAAAAAGACACCGTGTTCTCTCGTTGCCACTGGCTCGGCATCTAGAAGCTTCCCTCTTTCCCCAGCGACAGCCACTGTGACCCACAAGGAAAGGCTGGCTGGTGGAGCCAAGAAGAGAGCCCATTCCCCAGAGTCCTCCAGATTCCCAGAGTGCACTTGGCTGGACAGAAGGGGCTGAGCAATTGCCCAGCTGCTCCCTGTGGAGAGTGATGGGGTGGGGGTGGGGGAGCACTCCCGGGACAGCAGGTCTTTGTTCTATCAGGGGAGGCTGGGCAGAGATGGGGAGGAGGGTTAGCTGGGAGCCTGGTTCAGATGAAGTTTCCCCTCCCAGCTCATCACTCCAACTAGTTCAAATAAACCGCAGCTCATCTTCCCTCTTCCTCTGCCTCCTCCCTCATGCCCCTCCCAGTCTGCCCAGAAAGGTATTTGAAAGGACATTTTTTAATAGTAGCAAATACTAGTAAAAGGATTTCCTTCCTCCCTTCCTTTCTTCTTTTCTTTTCTTTCCTTTCCTTTCCTTTCCTCTTCTTTTCTCTCTCTCTCTCTCTCTCTCTCTCTCTCTCTCTCTCTCTCTCTCTCTCTCTCTCTCTCTCTCTCTCTCTCTCTCTCTCTCTCTCTCTCTCTCTCTCTCTCTCTCTCTCTCTCTCTCTCTCTCTCTCTCTCTCTCTCTCTCTCTCTCTCTCTCTCTCTCTCTCTCTCTCTCTCTCTCTCTCTCTCTCTCTCTCTCTCTCTCTCTCTCTCTCTCTCTCTCTCTCTCTCTCTCTCTCTCTCTCTCTCTCTCTCTCTCTCTCTCTCTCTCTCTCTCTCTCTCTCTCTCTCTCTCTCTCTCTCTCTCTCTCTCTCTCTCTCTCTCTCTCTCTCTCTCTCTCTCTCTCTCTCTCTCTCTCTCTCTCTCTCTCTCTTCCTTGTTATTGCAAAGGCTGGTGTTTGCTTTGCTTTAACAAACAGCCGATAGAACTTGCTTTAAAGAAGCACTAAAAAATGTGCTCCCAGGGCAGGCCCCGCATTAGCCGTGAGCAGCGCTTGCGTGCGGACGGGTGTGTGCTGAGGCCCGAGAGGGCTCGCAGTAATAAATGGGACCTGCTTCAGGTGCAGAGAGCGGGAGGGGTGGGGAGGAATGCAGGGACAGATTTACACCTGTCCCTACAGCTGCCCTGGACAACACTTACAGCCTCCAGAAATGGCCCTTGGTGCCGACCTGTCTGGAAGCCATCAGGGTTAGTTTTGAAGCAGGAATCTTCAAGTGGAGCAGAGGGCAGGCGCTGCCTGCCCCCACCTTCCCCGTGGCTGTGCTCAAGTGCTGCCCAGGGAGCAGTCTGGCTGCCGGGCCCCCTGCCCACCCACCCCTCCCTCTCCATTTCCTCTGTCAGGCAAATATCATCATTGATTTTTTAGCTGCCTTTGGTGCCGCCGCCTAATGAGGGCTGGGCAGGGTGCGGGGGCTGCAGCCAGCTCATCGAGGCTCCCCTCCCCCTCCCCGCCCCCCAGGAGCTGGGTCTGGCCCCAGGAATCCTGCGGGAGTCCTGACTCTCCCCTCCAGCCAGTTCCCGCTCTCTGCCACCGCCCGCCCCGCCCCGCGGGGCAGACAGTTGAGCGACTGACACTGTCCAGACGCCTGTGGAATCTCGCTCCCAGTCCTCCCAGCGCTGGGCCGGCTGCAGACGCGGGGGCAGCGGGCACCAGAAGCCGGCCTGAAACTCGTTGCCACCTCTCAGAGGCCGATGAAAGCGCCACTCAGCTGGCCCTTCAGGACGGGGACCCTGGAGCCAGGACACTCGGAGGGCATGTTTGACACCCGTGCTGGGGACTTTGAGTCCCTGCTCTCTACCCCTGGCCCCACAGAGGTCTAGGAGGCTGAGAGGGGGCAGATGACAGGCCATCAGCTGCCAGAAAGGCCACAGGGAAAGGCCCGGCGCTTTGCCTGAGAATTAGCAGGCGCCGGCCTCCCTTCTCCTGCTGGGGAGACTGGGAGTAGCTGGGGGGACTGGGAGTAGCTGGGGAGACTGGGAGTAGCTGGGGAGACTGGGAGTAGCTGGGGGGACTGGGGTTGGGCACATTCATGTTTTCTACATCTCAGTCTTCCCTTCCCAATGGTTTCCCTGACACATATTTTAATAATCCACTCACTTCCTCAGAACACCCAGGAAACCTTTAGTGATGTAGTGTGAGCTGAACTTTAGTCTCCCTTCCCAGAAATAGAAAAAAAAAAAAAAACCAGGAAAATGATAAGCCAGGACAACAGACGCACATTACCAGGCTCTGGGCCTGAGGTCCCCTCTCGCTCTCCGGTGCGAATGGTGAGCTCCCGGTGGTGAGAAGGAAGGGGTTCAGGACGCGCATCACCCACCAAGACTGGACTTCATCAGAAAGACTGCAAAAGAGTTGAAACGGAAATTGTTTCCTTCCTCTGGTTTCTGCACCAAAGAAAGCCACACACGCACCCCTTTGGATGTTTTGGGGAACATGCTTTCCTAGAGCTTTTTCTTTTAAATTTTTTAAAATCCTCACCTAAGGCTATTTTTCCCATTGATTTCTAGAGGGAGTGGAAGGGAGGGAGGAGGGAGGGAGAGAGAGAGAAAAATATCGATGTGAGAGACACATCAATTGGTTGTCTCCTGCACTCGCCCCTCCTACCAGACCTGGGGAACCTGAACCCACAACCCTTTGGTCCACAGGCAGACGCGCTAACCACTGTACACACTGGCCAGGGCCCCTAGAGCTTTTTAACAGCCCAGTCACATGCAGGCTCCTGTATTTAGATGTCAAGTTCCTGGGCTCTGCTACTGTCTTAGTCTCAGAACCATGGCTCAGCCTTTGCTTCATTCTCTTGACCACCAGGAAGGGCTCCGCCAGCTTTCTGGGCCATGGACCCCGTGGGCAATCTGGTGAAATGGATGGATCCCACCTCAGATGGATGGATCTGCCGTGGGCTTGCAAACTCAAAGCAGCATTAAAAATATAACATTACAGTAACATGTGTGTTCCCTGTGAATGCAGTAAATCACACACGCCAGCAGTGGCTCGACTGCTGTCCTTCTGAAGTCGGGTGGGCGAAGCAGCACTGGGTCCCTTCCGTCCCCTCAGGATGAAAATGCCACCGTATTTGTGATTCTATTGGTGACCAAGTGACAACCACCTCGAAGCCTGCTGTGGGTGGTCAGCTACATTCAAAATGGAAGGGGCTACTCATTTCACCCTGAGTTTAGTGAAAATGCAAGTGTGATCCCTCCCCCGCCCCAACCCCAGCCCAGTTCACAGGTCCCTGAACTCACCCAGGGCCCGCCCACCCTGTCCTTGGAGGACTCCGGGTGAGAACCCTGAGAGTGTGGAGGGTGGACTAGGCTCCCGGCTCCGTAGGGACAGGGAAGGCTTCCAGGAGACACAGGCACACTGTGAGCTGACGCGCCCTGCCGATGGGGCAAGCCGGGGCAGAGGCAGGCCTTATCAACACCGTTTTAAGGAATATTTATTCCTCAGGGGCCCAGGAGCCAGCCAGGTCTGGCTTAATGCGGTTTCCGCTCAGAGAGGGTAAGTTTCTCCCGAAAGCGCCCATCAGCACCTCCATCCCAACACACCCACACTCGGCCTCTGGGGTGACACTGTGGGCAGCGCTGGCCCCTCTAAATCCTCAGTTTTGGGGCCTAGAGAAAGGATCCCTGCCTCCTCCCCTCCCCCAACACCATGCTACCCCTGCTACTCTTTTGCCCCAAAGGATCTGTGGACAAGTCCTCTGTCAGCGTTGGGTAATCCCCTCCCAAAGATTAAGTCGGGGGCGGCTGCATTTTCTGCCTTTAAACATAGCACTGCAGTCCCACAGTCTGGGCCCAGGGACGGGGAGTGGCAGATGGCCCAGGACAGCAGACTGAGCTACTAGGACAGGCACGGAGAGGCGCCTTTAAGGCATAGCCAGACCTAAGAAAGCTGGAAACTGTCAGAACACCTTTGGGCAAAGCAAGGGTCGCTTCAAGTTGAACGAGGAAACCTCAGTGGTTTCTGGGGTTTTAGCAAAACGAGAACAAAAGCATTTGTGGACCAGGTTTCTCTGTGTAAGACCTGTGCCCTGGTCTTTGCTTATGTTACCTAAAGGCACCAATACCAGGTCTAATATTGATTGATTGATTGATTCATTCATTCATTCATTCAACAAATGTTTACCAAGCCCCTACTATGTGTCTTGGACTAAGGATATTGCAGTCAAACACATAAAAATGATTGTCTCCATGGACCTTCTACTGGAGTAAAGAATGATGAGAAACAGCCCTAACTGGTTTGGCTCAGTGGATAGAGCGTCGGCCTGCGGACTGAAGGGTCCCGGGTTTGATTCCGGTCAAGGGCACGTACCTTGGTTGCGGGCACATCCCCAGTGGGGAGTGTGCAGGAGGCAGCTGATGGATGTTTCTAACTCTCTATCCCTCTCCCTTTCTCTCTGTAAAAAATCAATAATATATATATTTTTAAAAAGAATGAGAAACAAAATAAACAGGTGAAATAAATGGTAGATGTGATGAGTCTTACAGAAAAAAGGGCCTTGTGGACGGGGGCTGGGGTGGTGGTGGTCAAGAACACTACTGAGGAGGCGACATTTCAGCCCAGACCCGGGGGTGGTGGGAACCAGCCCCGGGAGGACGGGAGGTGGGAGGGAAGGCAGGTGTAGGGGACCCAGGCCTCCTTGAACACCTGGCTGGCCTGCTCTCCGCGCTGGGCACTCCATGCATTGCCATCATCATTCCAGCAGTACTCGGAGCTAGTTATTATTTCCCCCTTATTTTATTGCTGGGGAAGGGGAAGCTCCGAGAGGTGGGGTGACTTGCCCAAGGTCACTCAAATAGCATGAAGGAAAATTAGAATTTGAGCCCAGGACTCAGTTCCTCTTTCCTCCACACCAGGCTGCCTCTGACACATCCCTGGGAAGACAGAAGAAAGGAAGAAATGGGGAGGTCGTGGAGGAGTGGCCAAGAGTAACATTTACCCTTCTGAGTCATTAGCTCAGTCTTACAGTGAGGGAAACTGAGGCCCAGAGAGGAGAATTCAAGGTCACAAAGGAAAAATCATAATGGTTAGATGTCTTAGCTCATCGGTGGCTCTCCTCCTTGTCCTGGCACCATCCGGTAAGTCACTTGGCTCTCGGGGCCTCAGTTTGCGGATCTTCAAAATGGGGCTAATCACACCAGCCTCTTGCAGTTGCCAAACAGGAAAGACAAGATCCTTTATGAGAAAGCATTTATTCTAATGCTTGGCACAGAGTTGGTGCCAAATAAATAGATTTCCTCATTCTTCCTTGGCAGCATTTCATCCAGAGGAGGGGTGAGGTGTCTGCTGATTTTGTGGTTTACACCAGCGGCCCCCAAACTTAAAAAAATTTATTTATTTATTTATTTATTTTTAGAGAGAGAAGAAGGGAGAGGGGAAGAGAGAGGGGGACACATTAACATGAGAGATAAACACCGATCGGTTGATGCCCGTATGCACCCCGACTGGGGACTGAACCTGTAACCCGGGCATGTGCCCTGACCGGGAATCCAACCAGCGACCCTTCCGTGCACGGGCCGACGCTCAACCAACTGAGCCACACCGGCCAGGGCCTAACTTTTATTTTAATACAACATTTCCAACCTAAAAAAAGTAGAGGGGAACAAAATAGAGAGACTGGTAGAATGCATTCCCATATACCCACCACCTGGCTTCAATAATTCAACTCCTGGCCAAGCTTGTTTCATTTATACCCACAGTAGATTGTTTAAATGCAAATGCAGACACCGTATCATTTCACTTGTAAACACTTCAGTGTGTATCTCCAAAAGATAAGAGGGAATTTTAAAAAAACAACACAACCACAATACTGTTATTACCCCCGCCCCCCACCCCACCCCGCCAAAGCAGCGATTGCATAATCTTACGAAATACCAGTTTGTACTCAGTGTTCCTGACTGTCCCGTGACTTTTATCATTTCATTGCAGTTGGTTGGTTCCAGTCAGGATGCAGGAAGGGGTCTGCGTTGTGTTTAGTGCACTTCCCACTTTTTTTCTTTTGAAAAACATTTAAAATGGAAATAATGGAATCCTGGTGACCCTGGCCACGGGCATCCCCGGGGTGTCATTTGCGATGTCTCTCTGTCCCGTGTTTCCTGTAAAGGGGCCTGAGACAGACGTGCTTGTGGGATTCGTTGGGGGAGCTCACCTGACAGACGGCGGTCCCTCTCGCTGGCGATGCGCAGTATTGATTTTCTTTCTTCTTGGTTCGTTAGCAGCGGCTCATGACCACTTTCTGGGTGGATCCATTGTTTCATAAAGGGTTGCAAAATGGTGCTCTGTCAGGTCTTTCATGTCTTCTTCATTTATTAGCTGAAATGCTCCCTAATTTCTTTGGAGGACCCCACCTCATTAAAAACTAAGATCTGATGCCCTAACCGGTTTGGCTCAGTGGATAGAGCATCGGCCTGCGGACTGAAGGGTCGCAGGTTCAATTCCGGTCAAGGGCATGTACCTTGGTTGCGGGCACATCCCCAGTAGGGGGGGTGCAGGAGGCAGCTGATCAATGTTTCTCTCTCATCGATGTTTCTAACTCTCTATCTCTCTCCCTTCCTCTCTGTAAAAAATCAATAAAAATATATTTAAAAAACAACAACACTAAGATCTGAGCCCTGGACAGTGTGGCTCAGTTGGTTGGGCATTGTCCCCTGCACCGAAAGGTTGCCGGTTTGATCCCTGGTCAGGGCACACGCCCGGGTCTCGGACTTCATCCCTGGAGGGGGGCATGCAGGAGGCACCCATTCAATCTTTCTCTTTCACATAGATGTTTCTCTCTCCCTCTCCCTCTCCCTCTCAAAATCAATAAAAATATATAAAAAACACCCTCAGATTTGAGTAGGCACTGTCCTATACCTCTGTATTTTCACATGTCTGAACTGCGTACCTCTTCTGCATTATAGATTATTGAATGGCACTAGAATGGACATTTCAAAGGATAACCTTGAAAAATAAAGGAGCAATGAAGTTCTTCCCTCACTCAGTGGCCAGTCCGCACACCGTTCAGGGGTGTGATCAACTTCATCGAAAGGTAAGAATGAACTTCCTCAATCTAGAGACCAGTGGGGACGCCCCTCTGCAAACCGAATGAAAAGGAAGCCTGTGAAATCTGAACATGTTCGTCCATATTTATAAGGAGGGGAGAAAAGTGTCTGTGAGGGGTGCGGCCGGGGGAATGAAAGGAGGAGGCTGCCAAAGCCACATCCATCTGGGGGGTCCTGGGCAAGGAGGTTTACAACCCAGAGACCAGACCGCTTTAGGGAAAAGGAGCTCTTTTCTTGCCCCATTTTTAATTTTAAAGGACTCAGCCCCTCCGAAGGAGGTCAATCTCCCGGCAGAGACTTTAAAGAAAGCGCATCGCCCGAAGGTCTGCTTCTCCCAGGAGGGGATTTACTCTTCACCTCTCCGCCTCAGGAGTGTTAACAGCAGAATTAAGGCGGGCAATCTGGCTGGGGCGCTTGCTGCGGGGGAGGCGTGTCGAGCCTTTTTGCAAGGCATTAATCACTTGTTTATAGTGGGGGAAGGAGGGAAAAAGCCAGCAGGAAGACGGAGTGGGTTGCCTAACCCTAACCCCAACCCTCCACTGGCCCCTTCATTCCTGTACCAGGTTCCAGAGCAAGGTGGGCTGGGGGCACCCCTCCAGAGGTGGGGAGTAATGGGGTCAAGGCCTGCAGAGCTGGGGAGGGGAGGGCTGTCCCCTTCGGTGCTGGTCTTCAGGCCCCAGCTGCTTTCAAGAATGTGAAGTATCATGGGCACCCCTTTTCATATCCATGCCTAATCATCCTCTTTCCCAAGCTCAGACTCCAGACTCATGTTCTGTAAAACAAACAAACAAACAAACAAACAAACAAACTGTTGTTTTCACATAAATATCTACTGGAGACAGTGGTTTCCTAAGGGGAACTGAACTTGGAAACCAGACCTGTAGCTGAACCTACTTCGGACTATAAACCATTTGGAATCGTGTAACATTTGGATGCATCACCCATTAATAGAGAAACAAAACAGCACATTTTTCTTTTTGTGACAAATAATTAAATCTGAAATCCATGGAAGAGCTTAGTCACAGTTCTAATACTAGTCCCCCCCCCTCCCCCCCATGCATATAGTTTAAAAAATGCTGTTTCCTCAACCCAGGAGTTCCAACATGACAGGGAGAGTTATTCTCTCTCATAGCTCTCTCCCCGCCAGTGACGCTAGATAGCAACGTGAATCCTTATAGTCACATGACATGTCTACACGCACACACATATTTTACAAATGCATCACTTTCTTCTTATTATATTTTTGATATATATTTTTTATTGATTTCAGAGAGGAAGGGAGAGGCAGAGAGAGAGAGAAACATCAGTGACGAGAGAGAATCATGGATGGGCTGCCTGCTGCATGCCCCCTACCGGGGATTGAGCCTGAGACCCGGGCATGTGCCCTGACCAGGAAATCGAACCGTGACCTCCTGGTTCATAGGTCAATGCTCAACCACTGAGCCACACCAGCTGGGCTCCCTTTCTTCTTATTTATTTATTTATATTAAAAATGATTTTTTTATTGTTGCCTCACTCTTTTATTTTTTGAAATCTATTATTCATGCCACCATGTATTATTATTATTTTTTTTACATTAAAGATTACTTTTTGTTGTGAGTGTATATAACATGGAATATCTTTTAATCACTCCTATTTCGACATTTAAGGAATCGTCCTCATGAAAAAAGAGAGACTCAGTGAGACACAATGGACACACCACAGGGACGTGGATCACGTGGCCTATGGAGCAGATTACAAACAACGGAGGCGCAGACAGTGAGTCGGTTGGGCCGGGTGTTACCCAGACACGAGCCAGTATCCCTTCACCGTTATCAATAGTGGGTGCAGCAGCCCAGCAGCCGGACCTCAAGACGTTTGCCTACACGGCAGGCAGGTCCTGCTCACAGGCAGAAACTTGACAGAGCAAGTGGCCTGGAAACGTTTGCGTCTTGAAGGCCTCAGCCGTTGGGCCACGTGTTTAACAGTATTGGCCCCAGAAGGTTCCACTTTCTTGCGTCGTGACATCGGATGGGCCTTAACGTGAGCCTTGGACAGTGCCTCTGTGGGCAGTGGCCTCCACACCTCTGCTGTCTCACATCCATTTGCAGTGGCTGTCACCAGTTGTCGGCCCAGGCAGGCAGCACATGCAGGCCCATTCAGAAAGGCTGCCGAGGGAGAAGCGGGTTGAGTTTGCACCCAGGCCTCACCAGCTCTCAGTCCTGCTGGGCTGGCTTTGTGCAACCCCGTGTGCACCTTTCTGTCCCAGGGGGCCCCCGTGCAGCCTGGAGCTCTGGAGACTGCCGTGAGCTTCCGTGGTGACGGGACAGAGAGGATCAGACTGTATTCCCTGCTCCCCAGGCTGATGGCTGCTCAAACCACACAGCCCCTGGCTTTCTGCGTCTTTGTGAAAAATGGTGAAATTTTGCCGGCAAACAGGTTTTTCTGGCTGATTCCCGGTAAGATGGATGTTTTCCTTGACTGAGGGAAGCCAGGGTCCTTCAGGAATGTTTGCAGGCTGAGGAGGTTCAGGGGTGTTTGGAGGAGCCCTGGGATTTGGGTGTAGACCTGTTTCTGAGGGCCACTGCCCTTAACTGGTCAAACAGGCCTGGAAAACCAGCGCATCCTCTGGACGTACCACTTGGAAATTCATGGCCAGGCCAGACAGGCACGCTTCAGACTCACCTATTCCGGACGCTGTGAATAAAATCAGCCAGACAACCTCTCCCGCCTCAGCATCCACCGAGCTTTCTGGGGCTGGAGCTTTCTGCGCGCTCTCCTAGGGCCCCTGGATCAAGTCCTCTGCAAACGTTAAAGTGCAGAATGCTCACACGCTGTCATCCGGATGACGGCGATGACGGCAATGAAGGAAGTACGTCTTGGGAGTGAAATTAATTGATGTTTGTAAAACATGCAGACGTCTTCCTGCTCTCCCGGCTGGGAACGTGTGAGCCCTTGGGAGCCTGGGAGACGGGGCCACAGAACCGCGGTGCACATACGCTGCCCTTCAGATGTGCGGCGAGATACATCCTATTGTGAGGAGGGCAGCTATAGCTGTGGACACTTGGAGGAAATGAACTCTCAGGCCTGGAGGAATGCTTCACAGGGGTGGGGCCCCATAGATGAGTTGAATTCACCAGGTCGGAGGGGAGGTGGGTATTCAAGACAGAGGAAACGGCACACAGAAAGATGGATGAGGGCATCCAAGTGTGGACAGGATGGCAAATTGTTTGAGGGTATGGACCAGGGAGGGCGAGGGCGTGAGTGCCTGGCTGGTTGGCAAGTAACCAGGGTCCATATCAATGGAGCACTTGCCCTGTGCTGGGTTAAACGCTTGATGTGTATCTAAGTCTAACCCTAGCCCCCCCTTCACCCCCAAAGAAGTTGGTCCTGTGGACTCCCCATTTGGCAGAGAGGTTGAATACCTCATCCAAGGTCATAGGGTGGGGAAGTGACAGGGTCAGGATTCCAAGCCAGCAGCCTGGCACAGACCATGTGCCTTCGCCATTGGACAGGCCTGCCAGCACCTCTGGGAGGCTGGGCTGAGCCGTCAGCACGTGGTTCTCAGGCGAAGGCAAATCAAGTCCTGGGAGGTTTTGCACAGGGAGCACCGAGGGCCGCTGTGGAACTCCGGAGAGCTGGGTTCGGGCTGTGGCTAAATGGAAACAAAAGGAAGAGGTTTGGGGAGGGGGCAGGTGATGAGCCAACAGAATTAGAGGTCAACTTAACAAGCAGCCACAGCTCCATGGAGACGTTCTCAAAAGCAGGAGGGAAGAGAGAGGCAGCCCAGGGGATTTTTGGGGGTGGGGGTCACAGGGGAGCCCAATGGCTTTTTACGCCCAGACCTCAGTGCAGGAGCTAATGGGACGACACACACCCCGGGGTTATGGAGTTTGGGTCCGGAGGAGTCAGATAAAAAGGATGGAGGCAGCAGAAGGAAAGGCTAATGGAACCACACGGGAGGCATTAAAAGGCAATAAATCTGGATGGTATTTACCCAGGAATTCTGCAGAGGATGTTAACCCTGAGAACCCTGCTCACCTGGGGCTGGGTGGAGCCTGGAGGGGTCCCCCGTGGGTGACTCAGACCCTGAAGACGCGTGTCTAGGCTGGGAGACGCTCAGGGAGCCTGTGGAGACAGAAGGGAGGCCCCAGTGGTGGGAGGCCGGCTGGCCGAGGGACTCCATCACCTCCATCACCAGGGACCATCTCTGGAAGAGCGAGGCAGCTGCGGGGAAGGGAGACAGAACCACAGGATGTAATTTACTCACCTGCTCCCCGATGAGGTCCTCCCAGCCGGCGGGGGAAGGTAACTCTCTGTAATTATATCTCAGG